TTGAGAGAGAGGGGGTGTGTGGGTTTGTGTGTGTGTGTGTGTGTGTGTGTGTGTGTGTGTGTGTGTGTGTGCTAGAGACGTGAACCAAGACAAGCACATCAGCTCATTTAGGTGGTGCTGACAGAAGCTCTTTTAATGTGAGGCCAGTAGAAGAGTGACAGGATGGACAATGGCAGAGTGAGTGACCTGTGCAGGATGGCCAGAGAGACCAGTGCAGTTAAACACTCTCTCTACAGACGTATCTGTTACCTCTACATATGAGAACCACTCTAAGCAAACACACAAACACTGAATGCTTTAAAGAGACATAGCGCAGACACAACCTTGAGAATGATAGCATATACCACACACAGCAGCTCATATTCAGTCTAACTTAGAACTCTAAGAATGGATGTTAAGGAGATTAAGGACAGACAGGAAAGATTAATTTGGGCAGCGCTCACTTACGGGAAGTTAGCGACACGTACAGCCACAGGCACACATGACAGCTGGGACGCCCACTTCAGCGTCACATCCTGGTACACCAGCAGCATGTTGTTATGGTTACACATCAGGATGTTGGTGGAACCCTCAGAAACTGAAGACAAAGCCAGAGAGAAGACAGCTGAGTATGAAGGAGGAAGTGTGTTCAGATGGTCTGTGGTTTCTGGGCCTCACATGGAGAGTCAATTCAGTAGTTAAATGATAGACTGCATCCACTTCCAAACCACCAGAAGACGTCTATCTCTCACTTTCCTACAAGCTAACACCCCTCTCACCAACACACACATATACACATCTCCGTTCTGTGGCCAAAATGAAAGAAAGGGTCAGCCATCACGCTTCCGATGTGAACATTGTCATTCATTGATATGGGCAATGATAAAACGCGAAAAACTGACTTAAAAAAAAGTATTTATCATTGAATCATCAATTCAAGAGATTAATTCTCAAGCGTGGGTTACCATGTGCTATAGAAGTTTAAAGGGTTAGTTCACCCAAAAATGAAAATTCTGTCATTAATTACTCAGCCTCATGTCGTTTCATACCCGTAAGACCTTCGTTCATCTTCGGAACACAAATTAAGATATTTTTGATGGAATCTGAGAGCTGTCTGACCCTGCATAGACAGCAATACAACTGAAATGTTCCCAAGTCCAGAAACGTAGCAAGGAGATCTGTAAAATAATCCATGTGACATCAGGGGTTCAACCATAATTTTACGAAGCTATGATAATACCTTTTGTGCGCAAAAGAAAAAAAAAAACAACTTTATTCAACAATTCATCTCCTCCGCGTCACCCTGTAGCGCCATTTTGGAGAATATCCACTGGATGTAAACAGCGTATGCTGTTCTGTGTCAGCTGCGTCAAACGAATACGCTGTTTTTGTTCAGATCAAATCACAACAACGTCGGAAACAGATCCGGAGCTACAGCCAGTGTCTCATACCTGCGTTTAAAAGAGAAGATGATGTTAACTGCACCAATTAATCTAAACACAGAGACACTGGAGATTGTTCAATGCTTCAATATTCACTTCACCAGAACAATGATGCACTGAAGGTTTCTTGAAAGTTTCTTGTTTCAGTCCATTTCCCATGACCCTTACCATGACCTTTTCAACAAGAAAGGTAACGCACTATAAAAATCATACAAAAGTGTCTAATTCTGACATAATCTGTTAAAATTATATTCAAATAATTGTTTTTGTAATTATTTAGTTTTAGATAATAATTATTTTTACTATTTTTCTATGTTATAGACATGTCCAAGGACCAATGACAGAATTTTCATTTTTGGGTGAACTAACCCTTTAAACAGCACAGCATGACGAGTTAAAGGCAGTATAGATCACCTGATCCGTAGGGCAAGAAACAGCTGGGGTTGAACTCCAATTTCTTCATGAAGCGGATCTGACCATTATCCTTGAGACAAAAGAAATTTCTCTCCCCCAGCACAAAGATGGAGGACATCACTGAAGATGTGTTGGGAACACAGATATCTAGAGCCTCTTCTCCTAACACCAGTGTCCAGTCAGCCTGAAGACAAACATACACACAGTCATATCCAAAGGCAAATACTCAAACTGAAAACAGTAGCACTTTCAATCGGCAGGAAACACACCGTCAGTCTCTTCCCTGAGCTCTTGCTCTGCTGATCAGAGTCTTGTCTGGTGTCTGCATCTGTGGCTACAGCCAGTGTCTCATACCTGCGTTTAAAAGAGAAGATGATGTTAACTGCACCAATTAATCTAAGCACAGAGACACTGGAGATTGTTCAATGCTTCAATATTCACTTCACCAGAACAATGATGCACTGAAGGTTTCTTGAAAGTTTCTTGTTTCAGTCCATTTCCCATGACCCTTACCATGACCTTTTCAACAAGAAAGGTAACGCACTATAAAATTATACAAAAGTGTCTAATTCTGACATAATCTGTTAAAATTATATTCAAATAATTGTTTTTGTAATTATTTAGTTTTAGATAATAATTATTTTTACTATTTTTCTATGTTATAGACATGTCCAAGGACCTGCTGAAGGGTTGTAAAGGTTTAAAAACCTTATATAAAACAAACCTAAGACAAAACCATTCATTTAATATTTGAAGTGGATGATGGACCTCCTCGATGGAGTTTCTAGGTCAATTTAGTACCCTATTCTTGGAAAGTGTTTTGTCTCAAAAGAACAAGATAATCCGGTTTTGAATTTGCAAAATGACCCCAAATTTCTACTGAATTGCTCTAGGAATGTTGGGTGGGTCTGGGGAAACGTTTATAGCAATGAGACACAGCAGTGATTATTCAGCTTTGAGAGCATGTTCGGAGTGTGCGTGTGTGTGCACACATGTCTGGAACTGTATTCAGAAATCACTGACAGTCCTCCAAAGCTATCAGCAGGTCATGAGGAGTATTAAGAGAATCAAAGGCTCTGCTGTCTCAGCTCAGATCTCCATTTTCAACAGTTTTAGCCAGATTGTGAAGATCATATTTCCTTCTTAAAGGTTCAGCAAAAAACGAAAATTCTATCATCATTTTACCCTCATGTCGTTCCAAACCCATAAGCCTTTCATTCATCTTCGACACAGAACTGTTTCACCCAAAACTTTGTCGTTCAAAAGAACATTGTAAACATAATCCATATGAATCAAGCGGTTTAATTTTAAGTTTTCTGAAGAGACACAATCACTTTATATAATGAACAGATTTAATTTAATCTTTGATTCATATATAAATACTGCACAACGCACATACATAGAGCACATCAAATATGGTAATTGGAAACTCAACTGAACTTGCCTGACATGCAAGAACCAATGCGATTTGTTAAATTGAATTAAAGCTGCAGTCCGTAAGTTTTGCCTCTTAAAAAAAACACAATAAAGCCATTGGCTTGTGTCCATTGCGGTCCTCGCTTTTAATATAAAGAATAGAGGCTATGTAAGTGACAGAAGAAATAAAAACAGTATCTCCTAACCAAATACTAATTTTAAAAATAGAAATCACAATTTCATATCTAAACATACTAGAAACAATTTACACCTACAGTACATGCTAACTAGCATCACTAAACAGCCATTTTTTACCGCTCTTTTACAACTCCCCAAGCCTTTTATTCCCTTTATTGACACTGTATCATAAGAATGTCATACCCAATTTAAAAAAAACTATTTTTTCCACAGTTAACAAACCCAACTTCTTAAAACATTCACTATGCAAATGTGTTCGAGGATGAACCTATAATTCTCACTCATTTGGTTTGAGCCATTTGCCATTTGTAAAAATCTTTCATATCCTGGCAACAACTACTTTACCAGAAAGAGGGAGCATAATCAAAATAGGGCTGAATCAGGGCCCCTGCCAACAATCTGAAGGAATAAACATCCAATAAGTCAGCTTGCCTCGCTAAAAACCTAATTTTACCACAAACTTTCGTAAATACTTTTCTAGCCATAAAATCACCGGTTAATGTATTATCTATTAAACAACCCAAATAATTTACTAAATTTTTTGACTCTATTACAATATCATTAATCTTAACCAAAAAAAGCAAAAAGAATGGCTTAATTTTTATCTACATGCAGAGAAAGTTTATTGTCTAAAAACCATTTGGACATCTCTTGTTGTCATGTGTCAAGCTCAAAAATATTTTATTAAAAGTTATGTTATTAATTTATTTATGTTATTAGTTTAATTAAGTGTCTATAACCAGATACATTGCATACAAGGATTATAATGACTTATACTGTCTTTTTACGCGTTGCATCGCGCACGTAACCCCCTGCGGGCTAGAGTGAGCGGCAGCCGGCGGATTCGACGAGCCGGCGGGCTTGCGGCAACCACATGACGACCCCGGGCTGGACTACGCTTCGTCCACGGTGAAAGCCGATCCGGCGATCCACAGCGCGAAGTTGATGTTATTTCCTCAGCGACCAGCACGGATCAGCTCTAGGCATGACGAAGCGATATCGTCCTCTTTTGGAAGACCAAACAAAGTAGTTTCGCTTTCACAACGAAACACAGAGTCTTCACGACATGGCGGCGGCGGCAACAATACTACAGCGAGAATAAAAGTTACGCCTTCTTTCTTTGCGTGAACATTTGGGCGGCGTTATGAACATTTTCCCACATCGTGACGTCTTAAAGTCTTAACATCGTAAAGTCTTAACTTTTATAAAGAATATCTCTTTGGATTTGAGACTTTAGTCTTTGCAACTTTACAGATCTTCTTTATGCACCAAGAGCTTGTAACACTTCAAAGAGAAAGGAAAAATTTAAATCGCATCATATGACCCCTTTAATCTGTAAGCTTACACCCACGGCGCTGTCATTTTGATTTCACAAGCGACAACGGCGTACTAGTTCTAATGCCATGGCAAAAGTTTGAGTAAGCTAACTATTCTTTGGCTGCACAGACGAGCACAGAACACTATTTACAGTCACAGCCTCAGAGGAGACAAGAGAGCAGTGCATTTATTTATTTCATGTATATTGCTGCTGCCACACAGATCTAAAATAAACATGCGATTTATTTCCCAGCTGTTTACCTTCACAGACATAACCGACTGTTTTTTTGTAACTCATGTGTGTTTTTAACATAAACTTGTGTGTGAATAAGAACTTAGTTTAGTACTCACATGCTGTGATAGCCGCTTTCTGTGCGTGTGCTTCGGATGTGTGCGCTCAGAAAACCATATATCAGAAGTTTAAACTCATATGGTTTAAAACGCATGATTTCAGCGCGATAAACATGATAATCAGAACCAAAACATGTTTTTTTAGCAAGTCCGAGCTGTAATGGCATACATAATACTACTACAACAATTATTACAACTTTTGTTTAAAAGAATAATCACACAATACGCTATTTCTTCCATGTTTTAATTTTAATAGTAAACCCTTTGTTTGCCAAAAAATAAAGAGTTTAACTCTCATTTGATTAAAAGATAAATTAAATTGATTTATGCCTTCATTTGCACTGTACTGTAAACTAAAACTAATTGAAATGTCTAGTGTCACATAGGCCAAGACGTTTCAATAGGCTATTGAACTAAGTGTGCCTGTAAAAGGCTATTAGTGTTATAGTTTCATGAAAATAGTTGCAGTCTTCTTAACAACTTCTACAATATAGCTATGAAGACAATTAAATTATTTACACTTATTATATACATTTTTTTTTAAGTGAATCCATTGATGTGCATTAGATGATGAATTGAATAGTCACCTCTACTATTGTAGGTTATGTTTTAGCCATCAGAAAAGAATTAATGAGGAATTATGAGAGGTTATGCCATTACACATACATTTCTAACATGTAAATTATTGAAGCCAAATACTTACATTTACCCAAGCTGTTTAGCTGTAGTACAGTATTCATAGGCTTAATCATGAAGCATACAGTGGCCCCACTTTTAACTCTCTCTCTTTATATTACCGTTATTGTAGATGGATGCACAGAGGAAGACTAGAGTAAGAAGTGCAGTGTGGGAGTACTACACAACCAACACCAGGGAAGGCAGTTTTTGTCAGAGCCCTTGTTATTCTTAATTTTGACATTAATTTTCATTTTTACACCAGACATATATATCGGTTCAAAATATCGGTTATCGGTCTACTTGATCTGTAATAATCGGTATCGGCCCTGAAAACACATATCGGTCGACCCCTAATTTACAGTAGGAAATTTACTAAATATCTTCATGGAACATGATCTTTACTTAATATCCTAATGATTTTTGGCATGAAAGAAAAATCCATTTTGACCCATACAATGTATTTTTGGCTATTGCTACAAATATACCCCAGCGACTTTTGTGCTCCAGGGTCACAATTTACATTATATATAAAAAAAACATAGTCTTATGATTTTTCTTTATCATATCAACACTATAATTAATAACTTATAATATTTAATCGTGAACGTTTTGAGTATGTAAATCTGACACCATCATCAAAAGCTATTTCCTCTTTTATTGTGCTATATTACCTTCGCTCCCTTACGGATACCAAATGTGTCTGGAAATGAAACATGACCCATATCATTTGCCACAAGGAGAACAGCAACACAGCAAAAATAAACAGTGGCGATCAATCAATGGAAATTTCATTCGGATGTAAAAACATTTCTCTAAGGATATGCTGGAAAAAGTGTTACGCCTAACCTACCATGCGCTTTCTGAAACACAATTTCTTTCACCTATTTTGTTTTCTAATACACTCCTGCACTTATTTTAAACATGGTGGAGACAGAGGATGTGCTTGATGATGTGTCTCTAAAAGTTATATTTAAAGATATGACCAATGAATAATAAAAAAGTAAATGTACAGAATATCCACATATCCTGTACGTTCAATAAGAATGAATCTGCATATGGACGGATATGGCCAGTGACTATATGGACAATTGGTCAGGGAGTGAATTAGTCTCACCTGTAGCACTCCACCTGCCGGGTGGAGGAGACCGTGATGAAGGAGTCAGTGCGGATGCAGTAGCTCAGAGGGCCGGGCAACAAGAAGCCTGGCAGGAAGCGACCAAAAGCATAAGTCTCCTGCTCAAAAAACATCAGCATCCCATCCATGGACTGAATACAGATGAAATGATGACCTGCACAACAGCACAGGAAATATTCAGTTGAGACAAGAGAACAGAAGGACATACTCAATAGTATTTTGCAGCTTTGTTGTGCAGATAAAAACACGAACAAATTTACATAGCCCAGATTTCCTCAATATTACACACACACCAATGTTAAATAGCTACATTTATTATTTATCATAACTAAAGACTAAACACGTCTTCCTCCAACTAGTATAGTCTAGGTTGTTTATGGTTCCAAGCGACTTGGTGAATTAATACAGAATGTGCACTAATAACTCATCAAATCAGAATTCAGAGTCAGAACTGTCCTTTTAATAATAAGAAATAAACATCAAAGAGAATAGCCAAGCTAACATCGTTTATCAGTGTTTATTTGTCTATTGTGTTTGTGTCAAATCTGGGTCGTTCTGTAGTGTTATGATATTTATTCACTCCCATCTGTATTAGAAGTCAAACTATGTTATACATAAAGATGGCTCTGTACAAAAGTCCCTTTAAGACAGGTCAGTTCACACTGTCATCCCTAGGATTTTTTTTTTAAATGCAGGTAATAGGATATAAGTATTGCTGCTATCTACTTGAATGGGAAAAGAACAATATCTACAGCTGCCGTATTAGGAAATATAATTTTTCTTATTCATATTTCCGTTGTGTCTTCTCCCTTTTATACTATCTAGGCTCTGTCATGTGCAGATCCAATGTGACTATTGGTTGATGAACTCCATCATAGAGACTGTGCTGCCTTCATGTGGTTGATAAGAGAACTGCCCCAAAAAAAGGTACTACTGTAAGTCTAAAATCCTATTAAACGAACATGTGCTACTATTTTATTTATAGTGGGTCAACTTTAAGCAGCTGTCTTCACACAAACAAACCCCGAATTTACAGGCAAATGTTCATTGAGACTAAATAGAGCATTAAGTTTCAACTATTTTGAGAATGATGTGAATATGAATGAATGTATGAGTAACATTCTATTTGTTCTTACATTAACCTGAATTAACAATAAAAAGAAATGCCCCTTAATCTTAGCTAATGTTAATTTCAACATTTACCGATACATTATAAAAATCTAAACTATTCCATCTATTCCATCACACTAACGATCGATTATGTATCACAAGATAAAGACAGAAAAGGCAAAGAGAAGAGAATGTTTCATATAAAAAGAAAAAAATATGTAGCTTAATTCAACCCACTGAAAATTTTAGAATGAGATGTATTATGTGTGGAATGCCGATAATATCAATTACCTGTGACACCCCCAAAGGGCCCATACGTCATGTTGCAAGCTGTTCTCTGTAAACTGTGTTCATACACCAGTCGCAGCTGATACTGGTCACCATGTTCAACATTCCCAGCAGTACCTGAAAAAACCAACACCAGCAAACACCACATCTGCAAGAGCACATACATTTGGTGCACAAAATCTGAAGACCAGATAAAAATAAGACAGATTGACTTTTTAAGTTAAACTGAACTTCTATCTTGACAGGTTGTCATGAACGTAAAATAAATTCCATTTTTATGAATGGATTCCGCAATTCTGTCTGAATTGTGGAAATCATAGGGCCCTAAAATTATTTTATGTACTCCATGGCTATGGGCTGCTGACCCCAGAACCCACTTTGGGAACCCTTGGTCTACAATTATAATATCAGTGTAAAGTCAATAAAGAAAGTACAAAAATGACCACTGCATGTGTACAGTTATGTTTAAGAGGTAATGGCTTTTCAGAACAAAAACAAAACAAAAATCAACCCCTAATATGTAAAGTTTTATGGCAGTATTTGAGAGGAAGTACAACATAAGGTAGGTCTGAATCTGTGGAAAACCAACCTGACACAGCATAGACAGACAGCTTCCTGGGGTGAAGCACTGCCAGATGGAGCAACTCTGAACAACTACAATACAAGACAAAGGGAGAAAAGGGAGTTTTGTTTTGTTTTTTTAAATCTCTCATAAAAAAAATGCATGGCTCTTTTTAAAGATGTACATGCAGTAACAAAGGAATTCCAACATTAACCCTATAATGCCTTCTGTATCATATTTGATACACAAAATTCTAAGGCCACTAAATGATCCACATTATCAAAACTTTGATCAAAACCATGCTGGCATCTTCTATATGCCTTCTGTTGTCTGATTGATAGTTTATAAAACGGCCTTTAGTAGTACACTAAAAACGTCCACCTTCAGATCCATGTGTCTTTTTGCTGTGAAATCTTTACTGATTTTTATAAAGTAAATTTAAGAATAACTTTTTCATTGTTAATATATGTGACCCTGGAGCACAAAACCAGTCTTAAGTCGCTGGGGTATATTTGTAGCAATAGCCAAAAATACATTGCATGGGTCAAAATTATTGATTTTTCTTTTATGCCAAAAATCATTAGAATATTAAGTAAAGATCATGTTCCATGAAGATATTTTGTAAATTTCCTACTGTAAATATATTAAAACTTAACTTTTGATTAGTAATATGCATTGCTAAGAACTTAATTTGGACAACTTTAAAGGCAATTTTATCAATATTTTGATTTTTTTTTGCACCCTCAGATTCCAGATTTTCTAATTGTTGTATATCCGCCAAATATTGTCCTATCCTAACAAACCATACACCAATGGAAAGCTTATTTATTCAGCTTTCAGGTGATGTATAAATCTCCATTTCGAAGAATTGACCATTATGACTGATTTTGTGGTCCAGGGTCCACCAGACTGAGGCAACTTAGGTTTACTTGATTGATCCATATATATTTTTTTAGAAAAATAATGTTAAAATGTTAAAAATCAGGCTTTAGGGGAACATTTTCTTTGTTCATTATATTGCGCTGCATTATATGTTTTGCCCCCATCATGAAAACTACAGAGCTTTGATCATAAAATCACTAAAAGAAGATAATATGGTTCAAAGTCAAATATGGACTAACCCAGCTGTTGGGTTAAATTGTTTTATTAAATTTTTAACCCAAAAGTTGGGTTAGTCCACTAGGGCTGTCAATATGGCTGAAAAACTAAATTCGAATTTTTTTACTTAAATATTATAAAAATTCGAATTATATTCGAATATAAAATGCATAATTTCAGTTAGGATGAAGAAAAGCTTTTGGCTTCTCTCCTGAGGCCACAAGAGGGCGCATCGAGCAAAATATTACTAACGCACGTTTATTCAAAGCATAAGATAACATGCCTATCTGTGAAAAAAGGGCATAATGTTTAAAAGAATGTTTATAAACCAATTATAATTAAGTTGCTTAAACAACTATAAACAAAACAGCATCATGTATGTATTCATAGTTTAATACAAAGAGCGGAAAGCCGATCACACAGAGTGCATTTTTCATTTAAAAACACGAGTTGCAGTGGGATGGGGAAAAAACCTGCCATAAAGTCTCAAGATATGTTTTTTTCAAAGTTGAACTTGCATTAATTTTATATGACTTTCTAAACATGCGGCTCTTTTGTGCGAGACACGAGTGCAACGCTGATAGATGTCCCTCTAGAAAATGCGTGAAATATGTGTTCTGTGTGAACAGCTTGGTTTCAGTTGTGACGTAAACAAGATCTTCTCCGCATTGATGTTCTCTTTTCCCACAATATTTGTAATTAACAACGCAGCAGCACCGCATCTAGTGGCTTCAACTGGACAGGTTAACAAAAACATTAAAATGCAATGACACTTACATCGCCATCGCATCTCGTGCGCCACTGATAAAGCTGCCTCCTTAACGGACACCTAAAATTCCAATGCAACGTTTTTGCATTCGAATGTGGATTTTTCTTTTAAATTCGACGAATTTTCGAAATTCGAATTTTTTTGACAGCCCTATAGTCCATATTTGAGCCAAAGCTGGGATGAAGCATTTTTTTAGAGTGTAATCATTTAAATATCATCTTACAAAGTCATATTATTGGGAGATACATGTGACAACTGATATTTATACATTTTATGTAAGTTGTCTGCTATACTGTTCTTGAGTATGAGCTCCATATTCTCCTATCATACTGTAGGAGACATAAAAGCCTGATGTATCAAATATGATACTGAAATATCTGTCAAAAGCCTTAAACCAGCTATAGATCAGACCTACAGAGAAGAATAATTCTTCTATTCAAACATGATACATTTCTAAATATTGTGAGATGCCGCTTCAGGTTAAGCATTAGAACTTCAACTTGTTTACATATTGGTGATTGTTTCAGCCAGTCTGAGCAGAGAGTAAAGCCTCAATGTTTTAGCTTGGGATTATCTGTGTGTTGCCAAACAAAAGTAAGGTTCTCTATTGGAGAGATTAGGAATAACATATGCACAAATGAAAGGGAAAAAGTCCCAGTATGCCAAGAACTTAATGAATACCAAGGTATTTCAACTGCTCTTTCATGTGGCAGATCTTTTAGAAACAAAACAAATTAGCAATGATTATAAGAAATTAAAAAAGCAAATAATCTAGGCTGATACAAATGCATACAGTATATTTACATATCTCAACATTCTAGAAGTACAATGGTATAAGCTACTATATCAGGCATTAATAGCATGGTACTTTGATACATACAGCACCAAAGAATCCTGCAGTGTTTCAGGATGTTAGTGCTTTCATATTAAATGTATAATTAAAACTGGCAAAAGTCATCAAACTATCTAACAAATAACACAGGAGATAATTCTGTTATTTGTGTATGACATTTAATTGTATTTTTTATGAACATATCAATTATTTACCATTGATAAAAAATATTATTTTTCTTAAAGGAGCCATTATAAGATTCCATTATAGGAATCAGAAGTGACAGTTTCTTTCGCAAGTTTGAAAATCTGACTGCATTTGCTGCAGACATAGTGAAGACAGCATAAGAGAACATAGAGTACTAATCATAATTAATGTAGTTGCACCATAATTTGGAATGTGTGTGTTTAGAATTAGGCACATTAGGATTTCTTTAATTTCTAGTAATAAACGTCATAAAAAAATTAAATAAACCTCAAAAAACACCAGAATAGGTAACAAAATTTAGAGAGAAGAAATGTTGGTTTCCAGTGGTTGATACGCTTTTATTAGATTTTTTTATTTCAGAAAAATATGGGACATGAAATAAACAAATACTTTATCTAACTTTTATCATTTTGATTGATTGATTAATTTCAGATTGATAAATGTGCTGATTATGATTTTGTAGAGATGTGGTTGAGTTGGTAGTGATGATTGTTGTAATGTGAATCTGAACAGTCACTCATAATGGTAGAAACAGCACGTGAGACTTACGAGACAAACTCGCCCATCTCCACTTGAATGATGGGATCAGGCAACTGAACCTCCAGCAGTTGGGCATCAGCTTCCGTCTGCTCATCTGGTTTAGCAGGGTGTGGTGAGAAGATGCGTAACATCCCCATAAAACTGCCCACTACAATCTTATCTGGATTAGAGAACAGGAGAGAGAAAGAGAGAATGTAAACAGCTTACAATCCTACTCCAGGGTCCCTTAAGTAATTACGTACATGCTCACTCTTCAAATATGGGTCTGATTGTTGACCAGTGTTGGGAGTAATGCATTACAAAAGTAACGATATTACAGTAGTATATTACTTTTTGCTGTAACGCAGTAATATAACGCATTACTAATAAAATTTTGGTAATATTATTACTCGTTACAATCTCAGTAACGCACGTTACAACAACATATTTAAACTCAAAATTAAGTGGTGAATTTACCAACACCGCAAAACAGCACCAGACAATAAATTCCGCGGGTAAAATACTTTGTCTATTTCCTGTTGCTGTAATTCGATGGTTGAGATGACTGAGACGGATTCTACATTTGTGAGATGGGCATAGCCTACTGCGGGGTCGGAGAAGAGAAAATGCGGCGGATGAGCGCAGACAAGCAACAGAAATTAAAGGGGTCATATGATGTTGCTAAAAAGAACATTATTTGGTGTAATTCAATGTGTTTATGCGGTTTAAAGTAAAAAAAAAAACACATTATTTTCCACATACTGTACATTATTGTTTCTCCTCCTTTTTGAAACGCATCGATTTTTACAAAGCTCATCGGTCTGAAAAGCGAGGTGTGCTGTGATTGGCCAGCTATTGACTTATACTGTGTTTTTACGCGTTGCGTTGCATTGCATCGCGCCGCGTAAACATAAAACTCTGTCTGCATTTGTGATCAGAGAAATGACAAACAACAAGTGCTACTCTACTGCCCAAAACTCGCGTTTGAATCATCAGTGGCAAATCCTTTAAATGAAAACGTACTTACGTGAGTCAGAACTGCCGGCATTGTAGTCTAACGTTACTCTCCCAGGATCAGTAAACAGTCCTCCATAAAATGTGCTGCACACATCTGGATATTCGGGTTAAACTGATCTGGAACAGTGTTGTAAATACAACTTAACCACTGATTTGTAGTCCAAGTTTTGGAAGACCAAACAAAGTAGTTTCGCTTTCACAACGAAAAACACAGCGGCCTAGCGTGAGGGGAAGCCCCGGCCTAGCGTGCGCTGAGGTCTGGATAGAGGGAGCTGAGGCCGGGATAGAATGAGCTGAGGCGGCGGGGTCGAGAACAGTGCGCCCGGCGGATGCGACGAATGAGCGCCAACCACATGTTGCCCCGGGCTGGACGGTAAAAGTTGATGTATTCCCTCAGCGACCAGCAAAGATCAGCTCTAGACATGATGGAGGGGATATCATCCTCTTTTGGAAGACCAGACAAAGTAGTTTCGCTTCACAACGAAGCACACAGCGCCTTCACGTCATGGCTGCAGCGTCAACAAAACTACAGTGAGACTAAAAGTTACGCCTTCTTTCTTTGCGTGAACATTTGGGCGGCGTTATGCAAATCTTCCCACATCATGAAGTAGACATGTGGGGGCGTGTTCGAACGAGCTGTTTTAGGTAGGTGTGGTTGACTCTGAACTTTTATAAAGAATATCTCTTTGGATTTGAGACTTTAGACTTATGCACCAAGAGCTTGTAACACTTTAAAGAGAAAGGAAAAATTTTAAATCGCATCATATGACCCCTTTAAGTTTAAATAAAAAAGAACAATTTGTTTTTATTAAATCATAGTCTACATATAAAAGGAATTAATACGCAAAATATATGACTCAAATAATTAACAGATTAACAAAACGAAAGAAAAAAGACAATAATGTAAAATATGCTGCTGAGTTTGGTTCATTTTTGTGGCGCTGCGCTCTGCAAAAGTTCAAGCATAGGAAACCGAGATGACAAGCGCATCCTAAAATAATGTATTTTATGTTTCTGCTGTTCGATTGCGCCGACGCCTCACGCACACACATACAGCATTGCAAACATTGCAGCCGTTCATTATCAGAATAAAATACAGTCAACTAAATATAGATACACTGGTTAATTAAAATCGTCCGTATAATCCGTGACGTTCAGCCTGAGCTCGGGCCAAGCACATATTTGCTCATGTGAAGAGTGTGATATTTCTTTTTTTTTTTTCGGAAAGCACGTTAAGTAGCCTACAAAAGCATGGTTTACATACTAAATAGGCTAATAGATTAGCATTCAAATACATTGCGAATATGGAAACATTTGGATCCGTGCCGAATGATAGAGGTAGGCTGCGTGAGAACAAAGGCGTTTGCTTTCAGTTTCGCTTTAAATTAATTTGTTTTGGCTTGTTTAGCAACTTATAGTTTTCATTCTTGTTTTGTTCTGAATACAGTTCAATTTAAAGGATTTGTTGTGGAGTGAGGAGAACTAAAATAGCCTATAGGCTTGCTATTGTGTTTAATGCTTGTTCATTAGGGCCTATAATATTCCGCTTTATTTACCGCTATTATTTCTGAATGTAGGCTAATTGCGGTTTGTGCTTGAAAGTGAAAGTAACTCACAAGTAACTTTAAAGTAGTGTCACGCATTACAATTCAGAGACAGTAATATTGTAATGTAACTAATTACTTTTAAAAGGAAGTAATAAGTAATATATAATGTATTATATTTTGGAAGTAACTTGCCCAACACTGTTGTTGACACACTACAATATACAAAATGAAATGTCAATGTATTTAAATTGAAAGAAAAATATCCTCCTTTTTCTTACACCCCATGATTTACGGGAGTAACTTCCATTAAGCTGTACACAATCACCAAAAGGTTTGCTCTATAAACGCAATAATAAGCACGTTCAAAAACTGGATACAATGAGGTGACGTTATTCTACTCACCCTTCAACCATCGATCATTTATAAGGAAATGTAAAAGTGTAAAGCATTAACAAATTACTTTCAACATACATGGATAACCCCTAAAGCTCAACAATTACGTTTAGTATCTATATGAAAACAAACCTGGAAACGAAAGATCCGTTCATGAGATATCTCATGAATAAAATAGGGAGAGCAGATCACAAACACGCAGTACATGTTGACGTTTTTCATACTGTTACAACGGAATACAAAAGAAACGAAAAAAAGAATGCAGCCGATTGAAAAGAGCTCTTCCTTGGATATTCTTGTTATATCACGTCACATTAATATACCAAGTGTTGCCTTATTCTCCTAATATCTGAAAACAGAACATAAAGGAAAATGTACACCTCGTTCAGTCAAACTGACGAATAAGGATTATTTGGAATGCTGCCTTATGTTTTGAAAGGATTTGTTTCAGTCTTTTTGTGTGGAACTTCCCCAAACCGGAAACAAATCAAAAATCACATTTCTCAATGCAAAATTGCAAAGAATTTAGGTCTTTCACCAACTACATAATATTGTGAAAAGATTCAGGGAATCCAGAGAAATCTCAGTACATGTGGGGCAAGGCAGGAAACCTCAGGTGAATGTGCATGACCTCTGAGCCCTCAGACGGCATTGCATACGAAACCATCATGCTGCGGTGTTCAGGCATGTGATCAACTAGAGACAAAAAAAACGCACTTATTATTTTTTATCACATTAAAATATATATCTTATATTGTAATACTACTAGTGCTGTCAAATGATTAATCACGATTAATCGCGATTAATCTCATCCAAAATAAAAGTTTTTGTTTACATATGTGTGTGTGTGTGTGTGTACTGTGTATATTTATTATGTATATATAAATACACAAACATATATGTATATATTTTAGAA